AAAAAAAAAAAAAAAAAAAAAAAGAGAGAGAGAGAGAGAAAGAAAAGAAAAAAAGGGCGCACACCTCAGCCCTCGCTCTCATCGGGACAAGATGACTCATGCTGACTCACAGCCTCCACTTCCTCTCCCGACATTCTCTTCATGCTTGTGAGCTGGGCTGGTCCCGTTCCCAGGGTCTCTGCAGCCTTCCTGACCCTGGCCAAGAGACCCACACCCTGACCTCAGTGTAGCCCCGGGGGCGCCCCCCCAGGGGACGTGCTTTATTTAGGAGAGCTGAGAACCGTGGAAAAATAAAATGTAGGAACCTCATGTGCATCTGAGTCTCCAACAGACACTGGAATTTTGACAAGTATTGTAAGGCTCGCTTGCTCTTATTCAAGGCATTTCAGCGAAGGGAGAAGAAAGAAACATTGCCTTATTCTTTAGGAGATGGGATTGGCTTTGCCATGGGAGTACTGATTCCCGTACATGTAGTCCTCGGCCTATCTTCCTCTGATATAATAAATCATGTCATCTAAAATCAGGGTATGGGTCCTGTTTTTAGGATTAAGGGACTGACAAAATCTTTTGAATCCTTTTTCAGACTTCAAGAGTATCCCAGATTTGAATATTAAAGTGCCAAGGAATGAAGAGAAGGTATGACAATTGAACTTTTAAAAGCGGCTGATGAGTATTTACATGCAAGAGCCGGGTCTCCTCTGCCTCTGCTTTCATGGGGTGGGAGGTCTTGCCCAGCTTCCCACGTTTGTAAATTATGAGAGGCAGTGAAGGGAAGCAGCAGCCCGTAGGAAGCTGAGAGGGGGCAGCTGTGGTTGCATCAGATCAGTAAGCTTTCTGGAGGTGACGCCCACAAAGGGGGTTGCTGTACACTAGCACCCTCAAGACCTTTCAGGACTTAGTGCCTGCTGCTGTGCAGGTCGCGCTCTGATACCCTTAAAGACAGAGCAGATAAGGAAATTGCACTTTGTCAGAGGACGGACCACCCAGGCAAGCTCTGTGTGCAGTGGGCCTCACCCTGGAGGGCTCAGGAGACCCAGTTTCCATTCATAGCAGGAGTCATCTTGGGAAAAGATATGTAATTATGATTCTGTATCTCAATTCTTTTAACAGCAAAATCAGGGCTTTTTTTTTTTTTTAACCAGACAATACCAAGTGCTTTGAGTTCCCTGTGAAAGTTGCAGTGTATTAGCCAATTGGCCAAATATTCTTATTTCAGGTTTTTTTCCCCCCACCAAGAGAGTAAAAAGCCTGTTGCTTTACTGGAATTTAGAAATAGCTTTGCTGTGCAATGTGCTTTCTTTAGGGGGAGAATAGGGAATGTGGGTTGAGGCAGCAACCTCGCAAGCAGCCAGAGGCCATGTCTTATGTCATTCCCATTGGGCACATCTCATGCAGTGGGGCTGCAGCAGCCCCGTGAGAAGGAAGTGTGCATTCATGTCAGGAGTCTGTAGGGACTATTAAAGCAGAAATTATGTTTGTCCTATGTGGAAAGCCAGCCTTTACTTTGTTTATGAAGACTTGTACTAAGTCAACTCATTAATCCCTGAGGGAACTGAAAAAATATTAATTAAATTAATCATCAGGAATGAATTTTTAAAACTTTGATATAGCTGGGAAATGTAGGCTCCATGTGACAACCACACCCTCCTTTTGGAAGTGTCCTGCCAGATCAACATCATTTTAGCAGTAAGTTCTTCCAGGGCAACACTGTTACAATGAGCCTTCCAGAATATTCCAGGGCAAGGCCTTAGACATTGTGTTGCTGCACTGGCCAGTCCCATGAATTCTGGGCATTCCTGACTGACTTGCCATCCAGAGCTCTTCTCATTTTGGGCCAGGAAGTGGGGAGAAGCTACTAGCATTAGGAAGAGGAGGCCATTCCCTATTTATTAATAAATAAAACATTCATTAAGGCATATCAGTACCACGCCCCACCTATCATTGTTAATATGAAATGTTCTAGAGTGGATTCTCTTTAAGCTGGCTCATTTCTGCATATGCCTCCAGAAAGGAAAAAACAATGACATTTGAAATGTGGCTACATGAAAACACTTTTTAAACATCTGCATGCCCTTTCTCCAATGAAAATAGTACTGTAAAAAAGTAGGTTTCATTGTATCAGGAAAATAAACAAGTTTCACTCCTAAAGAAAGTGCATACTCTGAAGACCATGCACTCTAGCACCTCATAGGATTCTTATAAATCCTGACTGCTCATGGTGAAAAGTATCTAATATGTGCCAGTCTCCCAAAGATGCACAAGTATTACAATCTCTGATCCTCAAAACAGCCCTATGAGGAAGCCAGTGCCATATCCCCACTTTCTAGCAAAGAAATGAGGCACAGAGAGAGCCAGGAGCCTACCCAGGGTTGCAGAGGCTGGTGTATGCCCAGGCTGCCTGGTGTCAGAGCCCTCGTCCCTCACCATCAGGCCACATGCATTCCCCAGGAGACTTCTCAAAAATGTTTGCATCCCCTTGCCTCACGGTGTGTTCTCCCAAATTCTGCAGATACGTGGAAGGTGGGAGTACTTTCTATTCATTTGAAAAGTAAATAGAAATCCTAGCCTTTGAAGTGACCTAGCCCTTAAGACCGTAACAATTCTCATGAATGGAAAGCCTCGATTTGAGTTTTCCATTGGCACTTCTCCCGAAGCACCATGAAGCCACATGTCCACCACAAAAGCCTGCACAGACGGAGCCCCTCCTACAGGAACCTGGGGGCTCAGGGCACATCCTGATGGTCCTTCCTTTACTTGAGCAAACAGGTCCTTTTACCACCCTCCCCACCCCCATGCCACCCTTTTGCTGCATGTCTAGCCACTCCCCTCTCCCCACCTCACCTCTTTCCTAGGGTTTCATTCCTAATCAAATATAGGCTCTTTCCCTCTGACATCCTTAACCTGTACCTATCCATGGGCCTAAACATGGGCCCAAATCTCTTCCACCTGCAAAATACCTCCCCTGCTTTGACCCCATGGAGTAGACCATGGATACCCCACACTGCCTCCTATCCCTCCCCCATTGTTAGCAGCCTTGACATTTGATTAGGACTGACTCTGCCCCCATACCCAGGGGAGAGTTTTGACTGGGCTAAGCAGGACAAGGGAATGCCACCCGTTGCCACTGTGACTGGTTCCAGGATGGGATCCCAGGCCTGTCAACTAGGCCATGGCTTCTTCTAGCCACAGGGATGGGCCCAGGGGTGCCCACTTGGAGCAAAGTCCTGGACTATGGCCATTGCTTCAGAGACGACGGGGAAGAATGCACAGAACTGAAGAGTCTTATTCTTACTCTTTACTTTCAAAAGTCTAAGACAGGGTATTTTGAGGAAGGGAAAAAAAGATTCAGAAGAATGGGTTATGTCAGGCAACAATATACATTTGTACAGGTTGTACGCTGCACAACCCCAGGGAGTAAATTCACATAGGCCATGATGCACACAATCACAAGGGGCAGGGCTGGTCATAGTACCAAGTGATACCTCCCCAGGACCATATAAGGACCCCCGAGGCTGGGTGGTAAAGAGAACAGGGAGGAAGGAAGAGGGAGAAGGTCTGCCCCCAGCTCTGCCACAGGAGGCCTGGGACAGAGAAGTGTTGCCATTCACCCCAGAGCAGTTTAGGGACTCTGAGAACAGAGATGCCTGCAACTGGAAGAATGGGATGGAAGAGTTCAACTGGCTGTATTTTTTCCTCCGTGGTGGAACTTGAGCTCAATGGTGTACTTACAGTTGAGGGCATCTTAAATTAGATGGAATGTAGTCCACAAAGCCATGAGACAGGATAAGGGATAAGCGTAGAAAAAGGAAGCAAGAACAGAGCTGTGGGGCCCTGCAGTTTTAGGAAGTCAGGGGGCATGGAGGAGCCAGCAGAGAAGGGATGGCAGGGGGCCCTTCAAGCTGTTGGGAGTACCAATATTTATTCCTTTTTATTTCTAAGTGCTATTCCATTGTATGGATATACCACAGGCTGTTTTTCTATTCACCTGTTGAGGGACACATTTGACTATGCCAGAAAAGCTGCTGTGGACATTTTCATACAGGTTTTTGTATGGACACACATCTTCATTTCTCTGTTGTAAATATCCAGCAGTGGAACTGCTGTGTCATATAGTAACCACATGTATATCTTTCTAAGAAACTGCCAAATCACCTTCCAGAGTGGCTATACCATCCATTCTGCATTTCCACCACTGCCTGAATGAAGGACCAGCTGCTCATCATTCTTGCTAGCACTGCTGCTGTCAGGGTTTTTATTTTTTATTTTAGCTGTTTCAATGGGTGTGTAATAATATCTCCTTGTGACTTTGATTTGCAGTTCCCTAATGACTAATGGTGTCAAGCATCTTTTCATGTGATCACGGGCCATCTATGCATCTTTGTTGGTGAGGTGTCTGCTCAAATCTTTGCCTGCTTTTTAATTGAATTGTTTTCTTACTGTTGAGTTCAGAGCCACCTTTACACATTCTGGATACAACTTTAAATCAGATATGTGATTTGCCAATATTTTCTCCAGTCTGTCATCTTTGTTTCCTCCTTAACGGTATCTTTTACAGAACACAAGTCTTTATTTTGATGAAGTCCAATGGATTGATTTCTTTCTTTTATGGATTTGGACTCCTATCTAAGAAATCTCTTCCTAACCCTACGTCTAAGTAATGAAGACTTTTCTCCAGTTTTCTCCTAAAAGCTTTAGAGTTCGACATTTCATATCTGGATCTTAGCTAATTGTAAGTTAATTCTTCATAGGATGTGAGGTTTAGACTGAGGTTTACTTTTTTGCCTGGATGTCCAGTTGTTCCAATCCCATTTGTTGAAAGGACAATCCTTCCTCAGTTGAATTGCTTTCAGAAATTTGTAGATAATCGGTTGGCCATATTTATGTATATCTGGACTCCCTGCTCTGTTCCATTGATCAGTGTGTCCATCCTCTCCCCAATACCAGTCTTGATTATTGTAGCTATATGTTAAGTCTAAAATTAGGTGGTGTGATTCCCCCCCCTTTATCTTTCTTTCTCAAAACTGTTTTAAGCTTTTCTTATATCTTTTTATATAAATTTTAGAATCAGCTCCTTGGTATCTCAAGAAGTCCCACCAGAATTTGGGAAGGAATTTCATTAAACCTATACACCATCAATTCTGGGGGAATTAATGTTCTTGCTATGTTGAGGCCACCCATCTATGAACATGATATGTCTCTCCATTTGTTCAGACTTTATAGCTTGGTGCCTCCCCTATGGGAAATAGAAATTACCTGCCATACAGAGTGGGTTTAGTCATTCTCGGTAAGTCTTTTATCATCTGCCTAAGGTCCCAAATTAAACAACTCCTGTAGGCACTATTTTATAGATGGCTACCAAGGCCTGAGGCCCCCACCCAGTTAGTCTTACGATCTGGGTGCTGGGAGTGGGTGCCCCTCACCCCCCTCCTCTCTAAGGAACGAGGCAGAGTTACCCTCAAACGGGTCACATGTCATACCATGGTGACTCTGGTTTTCTGATTACCCCCTCCTCCTGATGGATGGCTCTTCTCTCCCCTCCCCTTTGGCCTCCGCTCTGAGGTTATCTGCCAAGATCCCAAGACTTCCCCTTTCTCATTTAGAGACTCCACATCCCAGCCCACAGGGCCACCCTGTCG